GAGAAAGATGTTTTTCTTTTTAAGATACGCAATACATCAAATAATTGACCTGATTCGCTATCGTGCAATTAACGTTATGCTTAGGTGTGAACAGACCCTTAGAGATTAATTTATAAAAGTTGCTGTTTGCATGGCACTAGAGCCTCTAGATGGTGCTGAGGAGTCTAGGAAATCTGCACATGAACTCCTAAGTGTATTGGTGACATGCAAAACTTTTACAGTTGATTTATTAGTTTATTTAACCAAGGATAGCTTGTCAGCAACTTGTAGAAAAGTCTGTGCATATTTGTTAAGTGGTAATATAAAAATACTATTTTATTTGTGATACGCAGTTTAGATGCTCTTTGTCCATCAGAAGGCTTTCTTTACCCTGTGCCCAGCCAGAGCTGAGCATGCTATTCTGTTACAAATTCCTTCTTAGCAATCCTCCCTCCACCTGTGTCTTTTGGAAGAAGTAAGTGGAATGCAAATATAATCCATTCTGTGACTAAATCAAAGCAGGATGGTTTTCTAATTACAGGGCTGTGAAAAATGTGCTTCTCCAAAACATCTGCGACACCCTTAACCTGTTCCTTCATGTACCAATATATTTTTTCTTAAAGTGTACTTCTGCATATAAAACATATCTGACATTGATATGTATGCACCTCTCCTGCAGAGAGCCCCAGGACCCATGAATTCATGGGGCTGTCCAATGAATAAACTAACTACCTTCCTTGCATGCATGCATGCCTCACTATGTCGCTCTGATGGGTCCCTGCGAGGTCCCGAACGCTAGCTTCAGCTTCTAATGACATGGCGTGACATTTTTCAATAAACATATCTAAAATTTGAATTCATCTGTGTGTGTGCCTGTGACCTGTTGAGACTATTCTGAGCTTTGCACGGCGCCATCCGTGTGTTCAACAGAGCACCACCACCATTGGAAGGTTGCAGACCGTAGTGCGGGTGGTTCTTGGAAACATCAGTGGTGGCGTGGTATTACTCCAATCAACAACGCTAGCCAGGGAGCATATTTAATAATGTATATGCAGCCTGGTTGCATTACAGAAATAAATATAGAATCCTTAATAGCTTCTTTGTGTGTCAGGAGGAGAATGTTTAGATATCTTTGTAGTTTTGAGTATAAATGTGTGATTCCTAGATCCAGTATTGTACTTGACATAGAAAATTTTCATTTTCAATGCAATGAGTTGGTTAGTAATTGGTATAACTTTCTACTTTCACCAATGGTCCGATAAGCTTTAGTTACTTATGTAGTAGTGGCTACTTGATTTGAGGAGGTGAGCCATGCTTAACAGTTGTTGTTAAAGGAAACTGTGAAGGGTATAAATCACAGGTCAGGATCTCCCTACTTTCCTTTTATTTAATGTTGGTATTTGACTTTTGACCCTTGGTCAACAAATAAGTGTCTTGCAGCTCTGAGCCAGGGAAACACTAACTGCAAATTGCACATAGGCGAATATTTCCTAACCCGGGTGAACGTGATCTAGTTGCTTTAAATAACATGCAGCATACATTTACTCTTTATGTTTAGTTTAAGATGTATTTGGGTCATTGTAAACACTGGAGTTTTTGTATCCAGATTTTGTTGTCTTGTCTGATTTATCTGTATATGATATAGCTCTTTAGACTTGCATTCAAGTCTTTACTGAACTGATATACTGCTCCGTGTGCCAGATTTAAAGCGTGACTCACCATTAAAAGACAAAAAGACAAAATTCCAATGGCTTTGTTAAAAAAGGCATATACAAAAGTATAAATAATACATTTATTTATCAAATAATAACTTATTAGGCCTGGTTCACACCTAGGCATTTTGAGCAGTAGAAAAGGTGCTTTTAAACGCCCAACACAAGAAATCCCATGATCTTCGGTGGCCCCTATTTACACTTGAGCAGCAAAATGCCAAACACAGAAAAAAAGTACATGAGCTTTTTTTTGGCAGTTTTAAGCTGGTTTTCCCCCCATAGACGTCAATGGAAGCTCCAGGACACGCACGGCAGAAGCATGTTGCACATTTTTATGCACATTTTTGCGTGTTTGTAATGCACGTTCGTCCATTGACAGCAGTGTTTCTTGAGCTGCCAGTCAAATTGTGCGTCTTCTTGCGAAAAAGATTGCACACTGAACCCGCTCGTAAAAACACGCAAAAACGATGCCGCCTTGGTGTGAATGGGGCCTAAAGATTTTACCATTTGCAAACATTTTTATTTTTACACACATAAGTATCTGTGTTTATTTTTTCTCATCCTTTGAGGGACATTTTTCCCTTTGGGTTATACTACCACCCCCTTTCACTACCAGCATGCCTTTGTCTGTTCATAGTGTTCTAGGAGGATGACGTTTCTACAGCTCTCCTATGTTAAGACTAGCTTATTTTTTCTGCTAGTCTTTCCATAGAAGCCCCTGCAAAACCAGTTTGTGTCCCTCCTCTTTCGCCTCAGTTATTCACCATGGTGCTGGCGCCTGTACTAGCCCTGCCTCTTTCGGACAACCCCGAAGATGTTGTCCAAACGGTACAGCGATTCAGAAGGATCCTGAACCTTCCGAAATCGTCCTTTTAACTGATTTCTCTTTTAAAGTATCCGAGTCTAGTCCTGGACACAACTCAGGCCAAAGTGTTCCTTCCAGAGAACAAACACTCCAGTGTTAGATTCTAAATCTCTAGTCCAGGGGCTGTATGACTCTTTGCTTCTGCATGCGAGTCCTAGGTCTCATCTTAGTCTCTTTTGAGGCAGTCCCATTTTGCAAGTTTTACTCCAGACCTCTATAACATAACATTCTGTCAACGTAGGACAAGTCAATCCAATCCCTGGATAAACTGATTCATCTGTCACCGAAGGCCAGGTTGTCCTTGGCCTTGTGGCTCAGAAATCTAGCTCCGGAGTCTTGGATATGATTCCTTCCCAGCTTTTGGAGGATCCTCATGATGTTGGTGCAGAAGGCTTGGTCTTCAGAGAAGTCTTGTCTCCTGATCAACATATTGGAACTTTGGATGATTTGACTGTCTCTGGAGCATGAACTGTCCCACTGGAGGATCAGCTAAACCGGATTCAGTCAGAATTAGGCGAGTGGTCCCTACACCTGGCAGAGTTCCTGGAGCTGTGTTGCAGGTGGGGGATGCTAGCTGGCCCCAAGGTTCAACAACATACTGGGCAGGTTTGTCTCCAGGTACAGGGCCCTATTAATGTTTGCTGTGTTGCTTGCCTTTGCTTTTGTACGTCCTGGAGACTTGCTGTGCTGTGGGCGATGAAAAACTACATTTTAACCAGTTATTTCATACTGCTAAATTTTTTACACTCTATGGTTGCTAGTCCAAAATTTTTAGGCGGTGTTTTGTTTTTCCCAAAATGTGGATATAGAAGATTGTGCTGCACTGAAATAACATAATTTTACACTTTCAACTGATGGAAAATATCAATTGTCCATGTTTGGTTCATGTGGTTGCTGAGCTTCTCTACATATGTGAAAGAACCTTGGAATAGATTGTGGACAGGCGGTCTCAAGTACTCCCAGAAGCCCATAAGACTTTCAACCCTTACATTTCAGCTATAGAATGTACAATTCCACACACTGAGGACAGAGTAATATACATCTCTGTCCAGGGGCTTCAGAAAAAATGGACTCTCCTTTTTTATAGAGTTTATTAATCTATCATTACCTTTTATTTATTTGTCTTACATGTCTCTTTCCTTCATTTATCTTCAGTTTCCAAATGACAAAATATTGGGGTCATGTCTTACTAGTGGGCATTTCTGTGACCAATTAGTATGGTTGGCTCTGTTACATCAGGCGGCAGGAGAGCCTAAGATGACTGTGCCTACTAAATACAGATATGTTAATGTCTATGATGCTGAATTGACAGCAACATTTTTGTCTAGTGCTTTCCAAATTACATAGCTAATAACATACATCGGATCTCATTGGGCACCAATATGCATAGCTCAAAAATATGAGGATTACCTAAGATACAGACACAATCAATAAAATCATTATTAGGAATAACAGTATATGCATGGATATGCACTAACAGGCCATGTATCCTGCTTTCGGGTGGCTCCTTTCCCTTACAGGGTCCTGTGGAGCCACCCTTGTGTGTACTAATAAGTTGTGGGTGTCTCCAAAAATACACAGGCACAGCAAGGCAAGTCACTCTCCTGCCCTGTGCTTCCTTCTCCCTCCTCACTTCTCCAAACTAGTTGGACAGCTGCTGGAGGCTGCTCTGCCGCTTTTAATCTTGTACAGGACAGGAAGTTCAGGGAAGAGGAGCTGAGAGAGTTGGAGCCAGCAGTTTGCAAACATGATGACTGTACGTGTTTGGGAAAAAATGTAAAGAAATACTTTGCTAGGAAATGTATATTTGTGTGATCTGGATTCATTATTGAAAAAAGTTTACTTTAATCAGGCATAGCTTACATTTGTTCCTGTATTGTATTTGTCTCAGACGGCTACTTTGATCCTAAACTGTGGAAGTAAAAACATTGGTTGGTGTATGCTCCATGATACGTTAGCTGTGGTGCTCGGTAATAATCATTTCCTTTACAGATTGTAATAAGGCAGGTCAGGCATGGGATCACAGAAGGAATTCTGCTAAAGGGCCTGTTTTTGGTCAATATAAAGGAAATAATAAGAATGAAATGATAACATGGAAAAACAGCCTTCTGTGTTTTCTGGGTTTATGTGTTGATCCCTGGGTTCTGACAGACATTTGGTTTTCATTATTTTGGCATTCTCTATTATATAAATGATGCCTTATGGGAATTTTATGAATGTTTTCAATTCATTCAAGTGTATAACTTATTAAATCATTTTATGATGACGGCCCTGTTTACAATGAAGGATAGCTTTGAGTTGTTTTAGGAAGACCTATAAATCAAAACACATGGAATGAACGTGATGAAAACAGATATTATGCAATGCTTTGCCTCTAACTTGTATATGATTTTATGTTCTTGACCGTACATCTGATGCAGTGAACAAACTGTGTATATTTACAGTGTACAGAACCAGGTGGATGAAGTGATTGATGTTATGCAAGAGAACATCACTAAGGTGATAGAACGAGGAGAGAGATTGGATGAGTTACAAGACAAGTCAGGTGAGAATAAATGTACACTATGCAATAATTGTGTACAAAATGCAATAATTGCTGTCAAGTAAATTAAAGAGGTTCTTTAGCTTTAATCAAAACTTGCTCCAGCCTCTTCCCTTGCATCATTTGGTAACATGGAAAGAGGCTGTAGTCTACATCTGCGTCTTTATTAAAGCTGAACTGCAGGCAAGCAGCTACAAATACTGTTGAAGTACATGTATGTGATCAGTTTTACCTGCTATAGGATTAGTAAATTTCAGCATGTCTAGTGGTACAGACACCACTGACAGTGCACACAGGTCCTTAACCTCTCCTGCAGTATCACACTATAGTGACTAACATACCCCCAGATTGTTGATCGTATAATGAAGAAGCAGATGCACAACTCTGAGGTCATCACTTTCTACAGCAAATCCTAAGGCTGGGTTCACACCTGGGTGTTTTTGAGTGCTGATCAAAGCGCTGAAAAACGCTCAAGAAGTGAAATGCTATTAATCCCTATGGGCATGGTTCCCACCTGTGCGTATTTCAGCCCGTTTTGTCGCGCTGAAAAGCGCCCTACGCGCGAAAAAGTACTTGATTTCAGCGTTAATCCATTGGTATTCCCCAGTGTGGCTCTGGGTTAATTTTCTGTACCATGTAACCCCTTGTAGCCACACTCAATACAGCGTAGGTCTTACCTTGTCCGCGATCCCCGCTTTGTCCTCAGGCCTTCCGGGTTCCGTCCCTTGCGAGCGTCCGTGTGTTTAAAAGAAAAAAAAAATACGAAAAACAGATAGAGAAAAAAAAAAAAAAAAATCACACCGCCAGGGAGGTTAAAAAACGTGCGTCGAACGCGCGTTTCATTGGACAAAAAAAGTGCTAAAAACGCGCATAAAACACGCCTATTAGGAACGCCCAGGTGTGCACCCAGCCTAAGTGGCATTGAGTGAGGGCTCTACCTTTCCCATTCAGAGTGTTGGTGCTCGGGAGATTACAGGAACCTAATAATAAGAAAAATTCCACCTCTTACACAAGTTGCATGTAAAGTCTATATCTGGGGAAACAAGAAAAGTAGTCCCACTGCAAGGGTTAAGTGCTCATTTATGTCTAGGGGCTGGAGGAAAGCAGATTTATTTTCCTGAACTCCAGTCCCCTTGCGATCAGCACTCTCCTCTTCTCCCCTCACTGCTCAAGCTGGTGGAATGTCTCTCGGTGTCCTCACATCTAATGTAGGTCTGTGGAACCTGCATTAGACATAGTGACATCGGTGGGCTATAGACTGCCGCAGCCCAGGGGGAGCAAACCAGTCTATCAGCCCAGAGGGAGCTGGCGGGCGCGGGGATCAGGTAAGTAAATCTGCCTTACTGCAGCCTCACCTCTAGACAAAAGCAAGCAGTTAACCTTTGCAGTGCAGGAACAGTCCTACAGACATGGGCTTTACACACCAACACACACACACACCCACCATAAAGTTATGACCACCCACCTAATATTAAGAAGGTTCCCCTTTTGCTGCCAAAACAGCCCTGACTCAAGGAAGCAGGGACTCCACTAGACCTCGGAAGGTATTCTGTGGTGTCTGGCACCAGGCCATCAGTAGCAGATACTTTAATTCCGGTAAGTTGCAAGGTAGGACCTCCATGGATCAGACTTGTTTTTCCAGCACATCTCACAGATGCTCGATTAGATTAAAATCTGGAGAATTTGGAGGCCAAGTCAACACCTAAAAGCCGTTGTTGTGTTCCTCAAACCATTCTTGAATTATTTTTTAAGTGTGGCAGCACACATTTTCCTGCTAAAAGGAAAGTCTTTTTGACACCAGAGGCAGCCAGTAGGGGTGGTAGGGTGTGGTGGCTGAGTGACGCCACCCTCCACCATTGGTTGCTAGGAGCTGGGTGGGACGCTGGCCAGAGCGTATGGCCCACATCCCGCCTGGCTCTTATCAACCTGGGATGCTTTGGCCGGAAAGGGGGCAGCAGGCACACTTCAAACATTGTGCAGCAAAGCTGCCATAGCGCTTTGCCTGTCGCCCCCCAATGTAACTACAGCTATAGCTGTAACTCTTGCCCTCTTTTCCCAAAACCTACCCGAAATGCACTACAAGAAATGTAAAAACCCCAAACATGTTTTTTTTTTTTATATGGAGTTAATATTTTGTACACCCACCTTGGGGTCTGCGGAGATAAATATACAAAAAATTGTCCAAGAGAGATAAAGAGATCTTTTCTAACAGATATATTTACTTAAAGGAGAACTATGAGGTGAGTGCTTATCTCTCACCTCATAGTTCTAGCCGACCTGTGACAATGAGACTGTCACAGGTCGGCTCAGTAGATCAGGAAGTGAGTGAACACATAGCGGTGTTCGCTCACCTCTCGATCATGTCACGGCTCTCTGCCGTGACAGGGGAGGGGCTGGATTCCTCCCTCCCCGCTCCAATCCGCCAGCGCTGACTGGCGGAACGGACGGGGGAGGGGACGCTCACAGCTGGCTCTGCCTCTAGATAGGCAGAGCCAGCTGTCACTGATGCAGCTGGGCGGATCCAGATATAATTGTCGGGATCTGCTTCAGCTGCGGCATCTCAGAATACCGCGAGTAGCTCGCGGTATACTGAGCTTATGGTGACGGGAGGACGCTAGTTTGTGTCCTCCCGTTACCCCAAGGAGAACTATGGGGAAAAGCCCTAACCCCATAGTTCTCCTTTAAGGTCGTTCAGATTGCTCAAATGATATTTGTGACCTGCAGATTTCACATTTCATGTTTTTTTTTCTGTACAATAAAAAATAAAAATAAACACAAAATAAATTTTGAGTTTCCGTGCTTGTCCAGGGAATAAAACTTCAGTGAAGAAGGTCAGAAAAATTATAGAATTGGTCAAGTGTCTAAATGCTTTTATAGTGCACTGTATGTATATAGCTTTAAAAAGATAATAATTAAAGCTGATAATTTGCTTTAATAAAAACATTCCATGAAATGTACATTATATAACATATAACCTTGTTTTTCAAAATTCTTTATTATAATCATTTTTCGCTGGGTTTCTCTTTTTGTTTTGCCGTACAGAAAGTCTGTCAGATAACGCCACAGCTTTCAGTAGCAGAGCAAAACATCTCAGAAGACAAATGTGGTGGCGGGAATGTAAGGTAAGTACTTATTGGATCAAAATATAGAGCATCAAAGTCTCTGCTGTTTTACCCGATGTGAAGGTTTAAAGTGCACTTCTCATATAGACAGGATCTTCATCACTGATAAACCAAGGCTGAAGATGAATAGCATTTCAAAAAATGATATCTTATGAAGGCCTAACTAACAAATAGCCTGGGGGCCCTGGAGGTGCCCTAATATAATATAGTGCGTTTGCTGGTTTGCCTACACCATCCTAATGAACATGCGTTAAATAGCAGATTGGATAACTATTCTAGATGTGGCAACCAGCATGGGAATTTTAGATTTAGGTTTTGTTGTTATTTTATAGTAGCTTCAAACTTTCCTATATGTAACCTATGCAATGAAAAGGATATTCCTCTCCTGGGAATACCCCAAAAACTCAATAAAGTTTGAAAACAAAAAAGATATCTTACAGAACAACTCTGTAAAAAAAATGAATTAAGCATTGCAGTGTGGCTACCCCTCACCCCCTTCCGCTGCAAAGGTTAGCTTTCATTCTCATCTAGGGACAAAAAAAAAAGGTTATACTGACCTGAGCCAGCCAGGCGTGACAGCGTTCCCTCCGGCCCGTCTCCTCCACTGCAGCGATGGTATGTCCCTTAGCGTCCTCACATCCTATACCCAGTGTATAGGAGGTGATGACTCGAGGATCCTTAGACTGCTGCAGCAGAGGGGGAGCGAGGCTGGAAGAGCAAGCAGGCTCCAAGGACCGGGTGTGTTTAACTTTTTTTTAGTTTAGTCCCTAGACAAAAACAAGCAGATACTCTTGCAGCGCAAGGGTAGCCCCACTGCAAGGATTAATAAAACATTTTGCCCGGACTTCTGCTCTAAACTATGTTTCTATAATGAGGATTGCCCCATCTATTCAATTTATTACAACCCCATTCCAGTGCTCTCCCTCACATTTACTGTAAGATCACACAGGTGTGCTGTTTACATACATGCCATATAATCTTTATTCCCATTATTAAAAGCATAGAATTAGATTCAAATTTACTAAATAACAATACTGCTGGCACTCATTTATCTAATTATATCGAAATTCTGCTGCTTGTCCGGTATGAAAGACCTCATTATTCAAAAACTATTCTTTTATAAGTGTGATGCATTTCCATACATCCTTGATACAGTATAATAACACTTAATTAGAGAGCCTAATAAAACAAGATTCCAATCTGATATTCGTGAATGACACGCTGAGTGTTTAGAGCAGCTGTACATAGAATTCTAATATGTAAATGCATATCGGTAGCTCCATTCACCCGCTAAAACTGAAGCACAGCCTTGGTGCATGTACATGGGCTTTGCCATAGGCTGACATTTAGGCAGATCTAACCGGTCAGAGGCTCTTCTTGAACACATAATTCACCCCTTGAAAGCAACTAGCAGGTGTAAACGGATAAAGGGAGCTGCTGACGGTCTGTGGTACCTGCACTTTATATCTGCTAGCACCTTTTTATGTCACTTTAGAAGAATTCTGTTCATTAAACTGTATAGATCAGGGATGTCCAAACTCCGGCCCTCCAGCTGTGGTGAGACTACAAATCCCATGAAGCATCTCCGGGAGTCATGTCTGTGGCTATGAGAATCTTGCAAAGCCTCATGGGATTCGTAGTTCCACCACAGCTGGAGGGCCGCAGTTTGGACATCCCTTGTATAGATGTATAAGCTATATGATGTCAAAAGTAATTTTTATATCATTTTATCATCCATACTTTCAGTGTTATGTAAAGTGTCCTTGTGCTTTGTGTTTTTAGATGAAAGCCATAGTGGCCTCGGTTTTCATTCTCATCCTGCTAGTGATCATTGGTAAGTATCAAGTGTACAGGATTTATTATGATTTTCTTAATTTACAGTATTTGATGCAGCAAAAGGTTAATCAAAACCTGGACACAGGCTGGCTTAGTTGATCATTTATTTTCACAACAAATAGCCCAATGAAAACCTCACTTCTGTTATTAACTAGATCTTCTGAATGGGATGCTATACAATGAATATAATCACTCTCATTTCTGTGTGTTAATGTTAGGAACATAATTAAAAAGCTCCATTATTTGGACAAATGTTTAACAGACTTCTCTGCTCTGGTCTGTCTTAAAAAAATCATCTAATGGCTGCTGTTCTATTATTAGGCAATAAACACCCAGGGGTGATGTGTGCAGCTCGTAGGTTTGTTTAGCATGTAGTAGCAGAACAGCCACTTTATCCTAAAAGCTGTTATTCAGAAAGACAGATCAATAGTGATATCCAAGAGAATACTAGCAATGCTGATTGATTCTAGAGAGTTCCTCCTGGAAACCCTGGAAGCCAAGCTAAGTTCTAACCCTCAAATCTACCATCTTTATGCCAATGACACTCAAATATATCTCTCCACACCACAACTCACCCCCTCAGTGTCCTTGAACGTCACTAATTTACTAACTGACATATCGGTCTGGATGTCTTAAAACTGAGCTCATTATATTTCCTCCCGCCCCGTTCCCCAACTTTTCCATTAAGATTGATAACACAACTATACCTCCCTCCATGCCAAGGTGCTAGGTGTGATCCTTGACTCTGACCTCCCCTTTCTGCCCCACATCCAATCACTATCCAAATCATAACATCTCCAAAATATGCCCCTTCCTAACCAATGAAACGGCAAAACTACTCATCCACTCGCTTGTTATCTCTCGTCTCGACTATTGCAACTCCCTCCTCATCAGCTTACCTCTACACAGGCTATCCCCCCCCCCCTCAGTCTATCATGAATGCTGCTGCTAGACTCATCCATCTAACCAATCACTGAGTGTCTGCAAATCCTCCTCTGACTATCCACTGGCTTCCAATTGTCTAAAGAATAAAATTCAAAATATTAACAACCACTTACAGTCATCCAGAACTCTGCCCCCGGCTATACCTCCAACCTTGTCTCAAAGTATCACCCTAACTGTCCCCTCCGCTCCTCCCAAGACCTCCTACTCTCTTTCTCCCTTGTCAACTCCTCACATGCTCACCTCCAGGACTTCTCTGGAGTCTCCCCCATCCTTTGGAACTCCTTACTCCAACCCGTCCAACTGTCTTCTACTCTTTCAACCTAACCACTGAACTATCACTTTCTCAAACAATTAATCCCCACACAGCTACCATATCACTTGCCCCTCCCTTCTAGATGGTTAGCTGGGTCCTCCTTATATTGTAAAGCGATGCGGAAACTGTTGGCGCTATATAAATCCTGTATTATAATAATAATAATGATAAGCCACAGCTTACGGGCTTGTGTACACAGGCATTTGGTTTAGAATTGCCTTCCCCCCCATACAAGTCAATAGAAATGATAAAAGCAACTTGATGTACGGCAATACCACCTGTGAAAGAATTCTGAAGCATCTCAAACTGACGCATGCTGAATACACATGAAGACAAATAGTTTGTTTTCTCCACAAAGGATACAAACTCTGTAGCCCCTCATCCTGTGTCGGTAACCAACCTAGAAGACACACATACACAGTCCACATCCGGCCAGCCAGTGCCTCACATATATATTATTATGCATTATTAACACTTACTGAACTTACACACTAGTTTTCTATTGAGCACCTTTTCTTAGGTCCAAGACATTTTATGTAACAATCTGTGTTATGTATTTTTTACTTACTTACAGTCCCGATCATCCTGAAGTATCGGTCCTAACCAGCTGGATCCAAGCCATGGTTCAGAGGGATACCTAGGACTTCTGATCTTGGGATCAACTGTACAGAACTGTATTATTTTGTTTCCTTCTACTTCTAACCTGTACATTCCTTTCTCCAAACAAAAGGACCAGTTTATCATTCCCTTTGGACATTCAAAGCAGACCTAACTCATTGTTAATGACAAAGAGCTGGAGGCCTTATAAGCCTGTAATTTATTGATTGTCTTTTTAGTTAGTTAACTCATCATTCTAAATTGAATTAGGACTTGTTCAGAATGCACATTTGCCTTGGTGCACCAGTATTTCTCGTTGACCTTTCTGATATACAGTATGTAAAGTCTAAAACTAAAATAGCATTACATCAGAAACTTTACTCTCACTTTAAATTGGGGGGAAATTTTCAACTCTATATTTACTGAAATTCACTGAGATACCCATATCCTTGCAGTTTTGAATGGGCAACCCGTGACCTACTTTTATATATCCCCAATTCTTTTCAGTTGCATCTTCTGTACCATTGCAGTTATTTGACACGTTAAACTGTGATTATACTTTTGCTGTTCCGTTTATTGTGTAATTTGTTTATTAATGAACTTTGTCGGACAGTTATTCTAAGTTAAAAAAGATGTGACCATTGCAGACAGACAGAATTGTCCATATATTATATCATATTATATAATAGGTCCTTTTCAAACAAGACTGGTATATCATTTATGAGCGAGTTGAGTCACTGAGTTTTTACAATGCCAGCATCAACATGTGCTTGGCTCTCTTCTATGCTGTGATAGGGTGTTATTACCCCTATTTTGCAATACGGAAGGGAGGGGGGTAGTGGGGGGTTGAATTTGATATTGCTGCTGCAGTCGGTGCAATAATACATGACTAAAAGTGTTAGGAATTTTTGTAATGGCCACAATAAGTCTGCATAACTGGAAACTCAGGTGAGGATATCTTGTTGTGGGGTCTGTGTGCTGCTAAGGAGCTGTGTAATATATAAGTCATCATATATATATCTAAAATTGATTTACCAGTTTGTCTTACAAAAAAAATATAAATTTGGTTTGTCCCCATGAAAGAAGAAAATACAATTTTGCAATGTCATGGCCTAGCTTTATCATTGTTTATGGTCACAGAATGAAAGTAGTCTGCTACTAATCATTGCAAATTATTTTTTATTTAAGTAAGAATGCTGTAATGAAGTCAAGGAGAATATAAATTGATTATGCGAGGGCTCCCTATTATAGAGGACATTACAAATGCCAGTAGTTTGTTTCCGAACTATTTGCTCAACCCTACAGACTTTTTTTTATGTACAGTAATCTGTGTTATTTCTTTAGCCAGTGAAGGTTGCATGGGGTGTTTAGAAAAAGCTTTGCTCATACATGACAGTATGAATAAGTATAATCACGAAGACGCATATGGCCTGGTAGTGGCAATTGATGTAACTGTTTTGAAGCATTGTTTATGATATTCAGAATGTGGTCTCCCAATGCAAGTATTTATTTTCCAGTGATTGGCCAGAGACTTTTACTTTTTTTTTAGAAAAGACTTTCAGAAGGTCCCGACAATGTAGATTCTCAGAAAAAAACAGATCACTTACTACTTGAAATGGCATTTTTTTTCATTTTCAGTTGGATCGGGACATAATCTCACATCTATAGTTCCTGCGGCAGACAGCCAGGAAGAAAATCAGCCCCAAGTGAAATACCCTCTTCCAACTCTTTATCTAAAAATAAACATGACACTTAGTCAAGTCATTGGGCAAGTTGGGGTATGTGAGGGTGTTTGGTCTGCATATGCACCACTAACCACTCTTAGTGGTCACCTTTATTCTAATTGGGAGAGTTGCTTGTCTGCACCTAGCCTAACCCATAGCAAACATTCTGATTTGGTATCATCCCCACGCATGTAGCATCTTGTGTGCTATAAGTCCTATACCACTGCAATGCACCCCTTTGGTGAAAGCAGTTGTTATTAACATAAAGAGATTTTTATTGTACCATGCGGTTTGCCTGCTTTGCAAAATACAATAGTCTGTGCAGAATCGCATACGATGTGAGTCCTAACTCAATAAACAAAGGTATAGTAAAAAGTAATAGTTATTACAGCAGCTCCATTTTTCTTCATAGACACCTACAAACACTTACAGGTCTATTCACTAAAGGGTGAAGAGTTTGGAGGTAGCAGGAGAAGTGAACAATGTAGGCCAAAATAGCTGATTTGGAAACATTCTCCAATTTGGCTCATCTTCCAGTTCAGCTATATTGTCTTAGATTATTCACTTCTCCCGCCTTCTCCAAATTCTTCACCCTTTTGTGAATAGCCCTGTTAATGTTTTTATCCTTTTTTCCCCTCTCTTGTCTGTTTTATTCATTGTTACTACTGTAAAGATTACAGTTTTACCAAATTGGCAGGCTAGTCTGGTATTTGGTTTTATTCCAGACTTGCTTGACCCCTACCATGTGTGGGATATACACAATCACATTAGATCAAACAGTTGTCATGTTAATTTATGGAATTATAGGAGGCCTGTACTGTGAAATTATAGATTGGTGACTTGTCCTAATAAACACTAGGTGCGTGGGTGACATTTTAAATCCATGCAGATGATTGACTTGGAACCAGTATTGAATTAGGTGTTCTGCCTTCAGTCTCACTTTTCTGATTTGTGAGCTTGTCTGAGCCAAAAGCTGATGATGTCGGAGACCGCTAGAAAACTGGCATTGTCAGAAGGATGATTGAAAGGTCATTTTCAGAATTTTCAGTATAGGTTTCCCTTCAAATATGAGAAATTCAGACTTAATGGATAAAACCAAATCCTTTATAAATGAACCACCACCATGCAATTTTTGTCCATGATATAAATGTTCTCTGGTTCCCTATCTTAGTGCAGAGATAAGGATAGGATACAAAGGTAAATGTAAGATAAAAGTGGACCAATTTGGGATTATTCAGCCAGTTATGCACATCAAGCCCTATATACAGATTAAAGGTGGAGTTGTTGCCCATAGTAGCCAGTTTGATCTTTGATTTCTTGCTGTAACATGAACTTTAGATTTGAAATTGAAATACGGACAGCACCTGCACTGTTTTTTCTTACACTGTGTATACATATGCGATAGATAATCCTGTCCCTAGAGGTATTGCAGTATTACAAATGTATATTCTTTTTTTGACAACCATTGACAACTACTGTAGACTGTGTAAGATATAGTGACAGTTCTATTTCGTGCAGGAAGTGATAAATGGTTGTCAAGGGTCATGTAATTACACACTAGTACACACACAGAAATATGCATTGCTGTACATTCCTAAATGTAGCATCATAAACCCGCTAAAATACACCTCACACGGTAAATTTTCACCAACATAGCTTAAACTTCACCATCTATGCTGCCAAGTGCCAAATCAGAAAAAGACACATCTACTAAGTTAAACCATTTGTGAAAGACTTCTGTTTTCCCCGAATTCTTGCATTTCTACCATTTGTGTTTTTCCAAATCTGTTATTTGTATATATGGGTTTCATGTGTTAATAATGCGTTATGTTGTCTATTTATATAATTTATCTCTTATAATTAAACCATTCACATTTCTGCAATATGTGTTCAAGTGGTCTTTATTGAATTGTCTGTCATTCTCAAGTGCTGTGATTCACCATTGTGTTATCTGGTTAGTTACACAACATTTATACCTTCCCTCTTTAACCACCAACTCCATCTTTGGTAAAACAGTGTTGCATTGACCAAGTTTTAAAAGTATATTTCTGTAAAAAAGGAACATTTGCTTTTAACTAGATTTAGGAAACGCAGCCAACGTCTGTCGGCTCTATGCGAACTGTGCAGTCACCCTCCAGCGGACCAATCTCAAGTGGAAAATATGACACAACAAGAGATCAACCTCAAGGCTGTCTGCTTTTTGCATACATATGCAATGCCATGCAACTATCATTTCCATAAAGAGAGGTCAGCAATGGCAGCCTCCACATATTGTGTATGACAGGTGTCATTTAATGACTAGTAAGGAACTACTTTTTTTATTTTTTGTATTGATGTTATTTATCAATTGCCATCTCTCTACCTCTGTCTCTTTACATGGCCAAATATCCCCCTATGCTGTAGAAACTGCCCGAGAATGTTTCACCCCGGTGTACCTCCCCATTGGCATTGCTGTAAAGGATATACGCTATCATGAAGGTGACTATGGGGATTGATTTACTAAAGGCAACTAGGCTGTTCACTTTGCAAGGGAATTTGCACTTAGCAGGGGAGGTTTGACCTTAGTTTAGTGAATGGGAGGAAGCTCTGCTGACTTCCAACACCAAATCATGTTCAAGAAAAAATTCTGTTTTTTTTTTAATTTTCCTTGCACATGATTGGGTGTTCTTTACAAAGTCAAGTTTCCCCACATTCACCAAGCTAAGGGAAACTTTCCCTGCAAAGTGAACAGTCTATTTGCCTTTAGTAAATCAATCCCTAATGTGTCATCCATTTATGCAATCTCTTTCATAATTTCAACATGCCTGCTCTATATTGGTATTGGAAAGCAAGAACTGAGGCATTGTGGGAACTGCTAGAATAGCAAAATATATTCTCTAAGCCCTCGAAAATGTCATGTTCATTGTAAAAGCTCTGTTTGCCATAAGATGGTACATGGTTTCATTTCTCCTAACTTTTAGGGTGTATGATTAACTTAATACTATGTTCTTATTAAGGGGGACATGACCTTAAATTTAATTTGAGGAAATCATCTTCAAAAGATCTATTAAATATGGCAGTTTTGGAAATTCCTAAAACTGCACAGAGCTTTTTATATTGTTTTCATGATTGCTGAAATTGCCAATTGCTCATTCCTGGAATCTGCTCTAGTACGTTTATTGAATATAACTGATAATATCAAGCAATGTCAGTGACAAACAGAATTATGTAAAACAATGAGTATCTGTAATATGAATCCAATGCTATTTGAAATTTGAAAGACGTTAAAGAATGACATAGAACACTTTGTTCTGATTCTTATCCATTATTTGCTTCGTTTAGCTTTGCATACAGTTAAGTCATTTGTTGATGTTTCTGTACAGTCTGCTGAATATCTTCTAGTCTTACTGATTATTTTCAAAGGTGGAAAAAACGTTGTGGGGAGAGAAAATCTTATTTTGAAATTTTTGAGAACAAAAGATCTTTTTTCTTTCTTTCCAAATCATATCCTCGGCAAGTTTCCATTTAATACAACCGGCTGAATAGGAAATGTGATCAAATCTCATAAGAGAGCTTGTTTAAACAGACAAATAAATAAAAGAAGTGTCATCCGTAGCAACCAGTCAGGTTTACTGGACCAAAATGTACGCTATATGTCTAAAGGTGTGGTCATTCCA